CGGTGCCGGTGCCGGTGCGGGAGCGAGCCCCGCCCGGCGGAGCCCGTGGGAGCAGGAAGAGCCTGGCAGCATGCGATGCACGCTGACTGTGAAAATGCTTTTTCCCCCCTTTTTACCCTTTGTATGCAGTGAATGTGATTTTCACTCCAACTACAGGGGCGGGCAAAAGCGGGTTGACAGCTGTGAGTTCACAAAGCAATGTTTTTTCTTGTACTATTATCATTGCATTACATATTCTTCTATGTGGACAGCTGTAACCTGCCTTTGCTCACTCCTGCATGTGCAAACGGACTCCTACAAAAGAAAGTTACAGCACAAATAACTCCTGCGGCTTGTGTGTTCTCCCTGTGCGGTTAGACGATGATGATGTCAGGGTGGGGACCGGGCCGGTGAGCGCTCGCGGAAGGAGAGGGGCGTGGGAATTGTGTTCTTGGGCATGAAGGGGGCGGGGCGGGGTTGTGATGTTAAAAGGGGGGAAAGTCACAAGATAAAATGAAGATGGATTCAGTTCCATTTTTTAGTTTTATTCATTTCAAATGGGCCGGATGGCCGTAGTTTGCCCACGGCTGGGACGGTGACGATGTCAGGGTGGGGACCGGGCCAGTGAGCGCTCGCGGAAGGAGAGGAGCGTGGGAATTGTGTTCTTGGGCATGAAGGGGGCGGGGCGGGGTTGTGATGTTAAAAGGGGGGAAAGTCACAAGATAAAATGAAGATGGATTCAGTTCCACTATCTTCCATACAGATACTTTATGGTTGGCAGATCATTACATTTTTATCGTTAAAATATTATGTCAAGACTGTAATGAAGATCGATAATATCAAAGTATGCATTTGGCTTGAGAGACATGGAATTTCATGAAAACAAGGACGTTATGGGTGGGATGGTGTCTCCCAGGAAGATGTGCCGGAGCCCTCACCAGGACGCCTCCGCACGGGAGCTGGTTTCCCTGTTAGGAAATGTCATGAGTTAAGGCAGGTCTTCTGTGCAGGGGAGAGAGGCAGTGCCCCTCCCCTGGGGAAGGTGTCCTCCCCGCGTCTTGCTCTCAGTGTTAGGAAGGTCCATGAGCCTTTCTCTGAAAAAGAGAAATCCACTCGCATTCAGTTCCAGGGCCTTGCACCCGTTTAAGGTGTAAACAGGTGCCTCCAGGGTTAAGTAAACCTATGGATTCTCACACCTTACACTCCGGTCACTTAATTTCCAGGGTTTGCTTTGACTCCACACCCACAAGTGTCAGTACAATTTGCCCGGAAAGCACCAAATGTGCAGGAACATAAAATCATTTTCTGTTTTTCTTTTTCTTCCTTGGACTTTTTATTTACATGGGGCCATGAATTCCTTTTCCTTTTCAATTGCATAAACGCCTTTTCTCTCTGGGTCCACAGAAGGACATTTCATTATGATAGCAAGTCAGTTTGTGAGGAAGACACAGTTATACATTTGTCTGTACCTAATAACAGACTACAAAATACACAAAAGCAAAAAAATAAATAAAAAATGCAGAATTAAAGGAAGAAATAAACAATAGACACGTCTACCATCAGGGATTGTAATGCACCTCCGCAGTTGGCATAGCAACTAAATTTTTTAAAAATCATCAAAGACAGAAACATCTGAACAACTGCATGTGTAAGAACGTTGCTAAGTTTCCCTTGAGGAAGACTGCAGGCAGTGGGTAAGAATACCTCCTTCCTTAGCTGTTAACAGTGTTGGTATGTAATACTTTTTAAATATCATCTGACTAGAGGCCCGGTGCATGAAATTCGTGCACTGTAGGGGGGGTGGGTCCCTCAGCCTGGCCTGCATCCTCTCCCAGTCTGGGAGCCCTCGCCAGCCATGACCCCGGCTTCTGGCTGAGCAGCGCTTCCCCTGTGGGAGTGCTCTGACCACCAGAGGGCAGCTCCTGCAATGAGTGTCTGCCCCCTGGTGGTCAGTGGGCGTCATAGCAACCGGTCATTCCGCCGTCTGGTTGATTTGCATATTAGCCTTTTATTATATAGGATAGGCACACCATAATATTTGTACTTATTTGCACTGCATTGATTGCTAAAGTGATTGACCATTTTTGCATATGCTTGTCACTTGACTTTTTTTATGAGGTGCATTGATAATTTTAGGTATATTTCTGTATTCTAGTTTTCTTTTTATTTATAAGTATTTCTCCCTTGTCATTAACTTTCTGACTTAAATTTATTGGCGCGACATTAGTTAATAAAATTATATAGGTTTCATGTGTATACTTCCATAATACATCATACATTGTGCTTTGTGTTCACCAGCCAAAGTGAAGTCTCCTTCCATCACCATTTATCACCCCTTTACCCTCTTCTACCTCCCCCATCCCCCTTACCCCCTCTGGTAACCACCATACTGTTGTCTGTGTCTGCAAGTTTTTGTCATTAACTTTTAAACCATCTTATTTTCTTTCACTTATAGAAGTTAAAATATTTGTGTAATCAAATCCACCACTTTTCAATGGTTTTGTTCCTTTGGTTCTGCAACTTATTTTGTGTAATCCTACTTAAGACTTATAGTTTGTGTAGGGCATTATCACATTTAAAAACTTACCTTAAAAAAACTAAGGTACACTCTCCAACCAATGAAGCATTAAAATGGGCCAGGCAATGTAATTTCTGCCTGTTAACGTTCTTACGACTTAGATTGTTAGAGTAGTTATTACATCGTTGTCCTGTTCTTGTGCCATTTATATTGATGTCTTTTGGTTCTCAGATCATTCACACATTCGCAAGGCGGGTCCAGACCAAAATCAAAGATCTGCTGCAGCAGATGGAAGAAGGGCTGAGGACCGCAGACCCACATGACTGCTCTGCGTATACGGGCTGGACAGGTGAGAAGGGGGCGCCTGCCTAGTGTGTCCTATTCTTAGGTTGTGATATGTAAGACTGGGGTTTAAAACTCCTTTCTCTTGTAAAATGGTAAAGTTCTCTGCCCTTTAGATGAAGTTTTGAACTGTCTTCCTAGAGGAGATGCTTTGGAATTTTATTTCTAAAAAATTCTGCCTGGAGGTTGGAACCTGATCTGTCGTCTGTCGCATGTTGATGACATTATCTGCCCTCACGTACGGCGTCTACAGAAATGTGTGATGAGAGCACACCTGCCCCAGGGTCAGGGTTTGTGCTGCCTTTTTTCTACCCTGAGTTTTTTTTTCAAGTCTATCCTGTTGCCCTTCAGAAATACAGGTTTTCTGTAGGTTTTCACGTCAATGTAAAATAATGTCCAAAAGGCGAAAGGGAACGGGATTGATGCTCTTCTTGGGGAATTCCCCAGGCATAGCCCTGCTGTACCTGCAGTTGTACCGGGTGACGGGTGACCAGACACACCTGCTGCGGTCCCTGGATTACGTCAAGAGGACCCTTCGGAATCTGAATGGCCGCAGGGTCACGTTCCTCTGCGGAGACGCCGGGCCGCTGGCCGTGGGCGCGGTGGTGTACCACAAACTCAGGAGTGATGGCGAGTCCCGGGAGTGCATCGCGAAGTGAGTGCTTAACATTGAAGTCTCTTCTCCAGGCTCTCAGTGCAAGGTCCTGCTGTCAAAAGATAATGAAAAAGGAAGACATTTTTCTTTTTTTCTTGGTGCCGTGACTCGGAAAGAAAGACATTTTTTAATTCATCTGCTGCTACAGATCTCTCCGAGAAGTGAAGTTTGTGTGTGAATACTGAGCAGAGTGTGGGATCATGTGCTCACTTTCTACCCAGCTCTGCTGGCCTTAACTTGGGGAAGGAGGGGGCGGAGCACACGCATGTTTCTTTGTGTTGCTTTGATCATTTTCCTGAGGTAATTTTTGGCTGCCTTCAGTGCATGGAAAGTAGCTTGTATGCCTCAGACTTACTGTGGTCGTTGTTCTCAGGTTCAGTTGCGATGGGACAGTTAGAGAGCCCGCTGTGTGTGCATCTATTGGCTTCTGTTCTTCTCTGGAGAAGCAGAAGTCAGCGCTCACGACCGCGGCTGTGGTCTCCAGCTCATGCTGGTCTGTTCCTGTTATTGAATGACAGGCAACTCGGGCTAATTCCCAAGCGTTGGCTACATTTTACTACCATTTTCGTTTAGAGTTTAAGTCATTTCTTCTAATTCTGGATTTCAAAATTGAGTATCTTCTCTTACATGGCTTAGGGTAGATGCACGGTAGACATTTTGACCATAACGATGTTTTGTTACTCATTGTGACATCTGAGAGAGAAATGAGTGAAATGGACAAGGTTTTCTTTTCTGTTTTTTGATATATTTTTTAAACCATTTAAATTGAAAATAAATAACAGGCAATTCCTAAAGGAACGGGGTTATTTACAGTTTCGGGAAGGTATCCTAGACCTTCTCGGGGACAGAGACCCTTTCTTGTGGGGTAGACTTTTGCAGCTCCAGAGATCCATTGTCTGCCAAGATTCGGACCTTCCCGACGAGCTGCTTTATGGCCGGGCCGGGTATCTGTACGCCCTCCTCTACCTGAACACGGAGATCGGGCCAGGCACCGTGTGTGAGTCGGCCGTTAGAGAGGTAGGGTCACCCACAACCCCGGGCATCCTCTCACCCGTCTGCACTCTGCCCCTAAGAACAGTGACTTCTGAAAGCATCTCATCAAACTAACGATTTGCTCCTTCCTGCGTCTTCTAGGAATGTTTTTGTTTTTAATCTGTACTCCTCTTAGGCCTGTATCCAGTCAGCTGTTTTTACTAGAATCAAACAACCCCAGCTTCCTTTCCCACACACAGCCGGTTCCTGCAGCCTTTTCCACACACAGCCGGTTCCTGCAGCCTTTTCCACACACAGCCGGTTCCTGCAGCCTTTTCCACACACAGCCGGTTCCTGCAGCCTTTTCCACACACAGCCGGTTCCTGCAGCCTTTTCCACACACAGCCGGTTCCTGCAGCCTTTTCCACACACAGCCGGTTCCTGCAGCCTTTTCCACACACAGCCGGTTCCTGCAGCCTTTTCCACACACAGCCGGTTCCTGCAGCCTTTTCCACACACAGCCGGTTCCTGCAGCCTTTTCCACACACAGCCGGTTCCTGCAGCCTTTTCCACACACAGCCGGTTCCTGCAGCCTTTTCCACACACAGCCGGTTCCTGCAGCCTTTTCCACACACAGCCGGTTCCTGCAGCCTTTTCCACACACAGCCGGTTCCTGCAGCCTTTTCCACACACAGCCGGTTCCTGCAGCCTTTTCCACACACAGCCGGTTCCTGCAGCCTTTTCCACACACAGCCGGTTCCTGCAGCCTTTTCCACACACAGCCGGTTCCTGCAGCCTTTTCCACACACAGCCGGTTCCTGCAGCCTTTTCCACACACAGCCGGTTCCTGCAGCCTTTTCCACACACAGCCGGTTCCTGCAGCCTTTTCCACACACAGCCGGTTCCTGCAGCCTTTTCCACACACAGCCGGTTCCTGCAGCCTTTTCCACACACAGCCGGTTCCTGCAGCCTTTTCCACACACAGCCGGTTCCTGCAGCCTTTTCCACACACAGCCGGTTCCTGCAGCCTTTTCCACACACAGCCGGTTCCTGCAGCCTTTTCCACACACAGCCGGTTCCTGCAGCCTTTTCCACACACAGCCGGTTCCTGCAGCCTTTTCCACACACAGCCGGTTCCTGCAGCCTTTTATGGGAGATCACCAGTCTTTTGGGGGAAACATTGTAGCTACAAAGCAACTAAGTAGTCTAGAATATTTTTATAGGAAGTTTTTCCAGACTCTAGTAAACTTTTTATGCAAAAAAGTTTTGGTTTCATGGTTTGACTTTTTCTACTCGGAGATTGTCTACGGATTTCTCTCTGCCTGTATCCATTAATTCACAAAAATAAAGATAACAGTGCTGAGTGCCTAGAGATTTCTAGATGAAGCTATCTAAGGACATGCTGTTAGTGGTATTAGACTGAAACAGGATACATGTAAGTTTTTCAGACGTAAACTGTGCCCTTATGTCTGCAGGTCGTCACTGCTATTATTGAGTCGGGCAAGGCTCTGTCGAGGGAGGAGAGGAAGGCTGAGCGCTGCCCCCTGCTGTACCAGTGGCACAGGAAACAGTACGTGGGGGCAGCCCACGGCATGGCCGGGATCTACTACATGCTGATGCAGGTGGGAGAACGCTCTGGAATACTGACACGGCGACCAGACATAAAGCAGTAGATCAGATAGGAAAACGGAGCTAAACTTGGCTCACAAGCCATGCAGGCTGCACAAAGGGTCCTTGGAACCAGGACACCTAAGCTTTGCTGCACTCACCCAAGCAGCGAGCTCAGAGAGCTGAGTCCGCACTCAGATCAGGTGCCTCCGCCCACACTCCTGCGCGGGTCCTGCTGCCGTGGGAGGAGTTGCTCTCCCCATCAGGAAAGCTCCCGGGAGCACTCGGCCTCATCCTGTCCCCCGGCCCCGGGTGCGAAACGGGCTTGGTCATTTATCATTCTCGTGAGACGCGGCAGTTCACAGCTGAGGGAAAGCCTGGCCGCCATAGTACCCTGAACTCTGAGGGTGTGGAAGACATTTTCAACTTTAGTGTCTGAAACATAAATCATTTATGTCTATTCCTCACGTGTGCTTATTTCATAGAATAAGCATTTTAAGCTTTATCATTACCAATATATAGAAAGAGAAAAAATATTTAAGTATGTGAATAAAAAAAGCAACAACACACCAGACTGGGACAGACTTCTCTCTCCCTCTCCCTTCCTCTCTGAAATCAATAAAAATATATATATATTAAAAACACAAACAAACAGGCCTGCTATCTGTGCTAACTTTATGTGTTAACTTGATATTTACTCACAGTGCCAAGAGATGTGGTCAGAGTTATCCTGAATGTTCCTGTGAGGTATTTTGGGTGAGGTTTGTATTTAAATGGGTGGAAGATCTGCCCTAGACTTAATTAACCCGATAATTGAATTGATTCTAATTTTATATGCTTCTCAGTATTCCAGGTAATTGGTACTTTGTTGCCATAAGATAGAGGTTTTTTAAAAGAAAAGAAGGAACTTTAGAAAAATAGAGTAAATGTTTTGTTTTGTTTGTTTAAAGCCAGCAGCAAAAGTGGACCAGGACACCCTGGCCGAGATGGTGAAGCCCAGCATCGATTACGTCCGCCACAAGCGCTTCCGCTCCGGGAACTACCCGTCGTCTCTGAGCAACGAAACGGACCGACTGGTCCACTGGTGCCACGGGGCCTCGGGGGTCATCCACATGCTGATGCAGGCGTACAAGGTCAGTGCCGTCCGCACCCCCGCTCCTCGGTGGGCCTCGGTCAGCCCGAGCTGCTGGAGGAGGGGGTGCTGTCTGCCCCAGGGCCGTCAGGAAGAGGGTGTGCTGTCTGTCCCAGGGCCGTCAGGATGGGGGTGTGCTGTCCGTCCCAGGGCCGTCAGGAAGAGGGGGTGCTGTCTGTCCCAGGGCCGTCAGGAAGAGGGGGTGCTGTCTGTCCCAGGGCCGTCAGGAAGAGGGGGTGCTGTCCGTCCCAGGGCCGTCAGGAAGAGGGGGTGCTGTCCGTCCCAGGGCCGTCAGGAAGAGGGGGTGCTGTCCGTCCCAGGGCCGTCAGGAAGAGGGGGTGCTGTCCGTCCCAGGGCCGTCAGGAAGAGGGGGTGCTGTCCGTCCCAGGGCCGTCAGGAAGAGGGGGTGCTGTCCGTCCCAGGGCCGTCAGGAAGAGGGGGTGCTGTCCGTCCCAGGGCCGTCAGGAAGAGGGGGTGCTGTCCGTCCCAGGGCCGTCAGGAAGAGGGGGTGCTGTCCGTCCCAGGGCCGTCAGGAAGAGGGGGTGCTGTCCGTCCCAGGGCCGTCAGGAAGAGGGGGTGCTGTCCGTCCCAGGGCCGTCAGGAAGAGGGGGTGCTGTCCGTCCCAGGGCCGTCAGGAAGAGGGGGTGCTGTCCGTCCCAGGGCCGTCAGGAAGAGGGGGTGCTGTCCGTCCCAGGGCCGTCAGGAAGAGGGGGTGCTGTCCGTCCCAGGGCCGTCAGGAAGAGGGGGTGCTGTCCGTCCCAGGGCCGTCAGGAAGAGGGGGTGCTGTCCGTCCCAGGGCCGTCAGGAAGAGGGGGTGCTGTCCGTCCCAGGGCCGTCAGGAAGAGGGGGTGCTGTCCGTCCCAGGGCCGTCAGGAAGAGGGGGTGCTGTCCGTCCCAGGGCCGTCAGGAAGAGGGGGTGCTGTCCGTCCCAGGGCCGTCAGGAAGAGGGGGTGCTGTCCGTCCCAGGGCCGTCAGGAAGAGGGGGTGCTGTCCGTCCCAGGGCCGTCAGGAAGAGGGGGTGCTGTCCGTCCCAGGGCCGTCAGGAAGAGGGGGTGCTGTCCGTCCCAGGGCCGTCAGGAAGAGGGGGTGCTGTCCGTCCCAGGGCCGTCAGGAAGAGGGGGTGCTGTCCGTCCCAGGGCCGTCAGGAAGAGGGGGTGCTGTCCGTCCCAGGGCCGTCAGGAAGAGGGGGTGCTGTCCGTCCCAGGGCCGTCAGGAAGAGGGGGTGCTGTCCGTCCCAGGGCCGTCAGGAAGAGGGGGTGCTGTCCGTCCCAGGGCCGTCAGGAAGAGGGGGTGCTGTCCGTCCCAGGGCCGTCAGGAAGAGGGGGTGCTGTCCGTCCCAGGGCCGTCAGGAAGAGGGGGTGCTGTCCGTCCCAGGGCCGTCAGGAAGAGGGGGTGCTGTCCGTCCCAGGGCCGTCAGGAAGAGGGGGTGCTGTCCGTCCCAGGGCCGTCAGGAAACAGCCCGCCCCGCCCTCTGCACTGGGCGCAGCTTCCCGGCCGTGGCTCAGGGAGGTCATCGAGAGTCTGTTTTGCTGCCTCCTCGAGTGAACACTCAGCCTTGAAAAACAATGTCGTCTTCTTAGTTTGCAGAGTGGTGTCTGGACTATGGCGCCCACGGGTGCCGCATCCCTGACAGGCCCTATTCACTCTTCGAAGGTGAGGGGGCCCCAGGTGTGGGTGATCGGGCCCCCATCTCTGTGGGATTGGCACCAACGCCTCCAGTCCTGCTCGAGCGATGACCCCACAGCCATACATACTCACACAGGAGTTCACGGCTGAAGTTTACATTAGTCTCCCTGCCGCCTGCTGTGTGCTCCTGTGAATGTCTTCCCAGTGTTTTGGTCTCTTGTGCAGTAAATGCAGACAGAACATAGGGCGCTTGCTGCTTGGTAACGAGGACATGCTAAGTTCCTCCACTGCACCCCTGTGCGGTGTTGCATGCGTGCCACTGCTCTGTCACAGGGCCTGTTAGCTACTTACATGTATCTAACTACTTCAGTTACATAAACAAATGTGACTAATCAATATTAGTATTTAAAGAACATTAGTACCTAGAAATATTAGTAGTTGGAAAAAGTTATGAGAATATCGAAGAAAGTTCTGAAAATCAAGAGCAATGACAGGAAGTGAGAAAACAATATTAACCGTCTGCTGCAGGCACAGTATGTAGAACATAATCCGGGAAAGCAAAATAGTTCTACAGAGAGCCCTGGGGTGTGCGTGTGCATGTGTGTGTATGAGTGTATGCGTGCACGTGTGTGTGCCAGTGTGCGTGTGCATATGTGTGAGCGTGTGTGCTGTTTTGTGACTGCTGCCTCGGTGGCTCCTGACAAGGAGGGGTCGGGGGCTGTGTCCCTCCCAGGGCCTTTCGTAAAGGACCCCCTTGACTTGCAGGCATGGCCGGCGCGATCCACTTTCTCTCCGACGTCCTGGCTCCTGAGACATCCCGGTTCCCGGCGTTTGAACTTAGCTCTTCGCAGACGGATAAAAAGATGTAAAAAGACTCCTAAGCGCCCCGTTTGGACCAAAAGCCATGAGACTTCTCGGTGCCTGACGGGGAACCAGCTGTGAATCCCGCGGGGGAGGCGGAGAGCAGACACGCTGGGCCCTGTGTGCAGTGACCCTGGACCTGGAGCCCAGTGTGATATACCGTCTCGCCTGTCACGGCCCCCCCGCGGCCACGCCCGCTCTCACACCCCGTTCTCGCAGCGTCTGCATGTCTCTTGGTGTTTGTTGTTTGTAGGTACCAGCTGTGCTCAGCAGAAAGCCCCCTGTGCCCTCGAGCGGAGCTGGCCCGCGGGACACGCGGCAGCCCCTTCCCTGTAAATCACTTCACAGCGGGAGCCTCGGGCGGAGGCCGGTGACACCCAGTGCTCGCACCCGCGCCACCTTGCTGCACCTCACGGGGCAGGAGGGCAGGGCTCCAGGACCGAGAGGCTGAGCAGATACGGGCTCGGCCTTCCCACGAGGGTTTTGTGCTCACCTCGGTGTTTTTTGTTGTCGTTTTTTAATTTTCTTTAAATCCTTACCTGGGATATGTTTTTCTGGTTTTAGAGAGTAGAGGAGAGAGATTGCCTCCCACACGTGCCCTGACAAGGACTCGAACCCGCAGCCTTTGGGTGTACAGGGCTGACGCTCCAACCACTGAGCCACCAGCCCGGGCTCGCCCTGGTGGTTTGAGAAGCCGGGCGCCTCGCTCTCCGAGCTGGTCCTCAGCGGAGTGGCCTCGGGACGGGCGGCCGTCCAGGTGAACCTTCCTGTGACCGCTGTGCGTCAGGGCCCCGAGCGTCAGCAGTCCTAGGCCCGGTGCGTTACTAAAGCAGACGGCTCCCCTGTCCATCCTCGTTAAGTGTGTGGCTTGAAGTTCAGTGAATAAAGTTCCAGAAGGCGACCGGCAGGCAGGTCTCTGTTCCGTGTCCCTGCAATTAAACTACGTCAAACCTGGTCCGTTATCAGGGCATCCGCTCGGGATCAATACATTCCTGTGCTTTGTCCACTGTTTGGGTGATGACAGGGTCATGTTGATGACACGTGAAAGGACTGGTCTTCACTTATCCACACGGGAAACATGATCCAGCGAGAGCCTGGCGGACACGTTCGTGTAAAACGGGCGCTGCTCTGGGTGAGCGCACCTGCCCCAGTCCTGCCCCGCGGGGTTCAGTGTAGAAGGGTTTCCCTCCTGGGATGGCTGGTCTGGAACGTCTCACCTTGCGAGCTGAGGTGGGGTCAGGGAGACACGCGAGGCCTCTGAGGCCTGGTCCTTGTCTGGACGCCACCAGCCCCCTCTGCGCCCTCATGAAGGAGTCGGTGCGGAAGGCGGTCGCGGGGAATCCTGCGCTGCTGAGCGCCGCCTGGGCTGGCCTGATGGGAATGACAGCTCAGGAGCCTTCGCCACACACTGTTTCCAAGTCACGACTGTTCTCTCACGTGGGGCTGGTGACTTCCCGGGACACAAGTCCTTAGGGTTGTTTTTAAGGGGCTTCCTGGGCAGCCAGTGCCGTCACCTGGAGGACGTGCATCATGAGTGAGCTGAGCCCAACCTGACAACCTGCTCCCCGCCCCCATCCACACGCAGCCGCTCCCAGGGTTCTGCACCCTCACCCCCCAGCCTGTGAGGCCATGACAAGAGCGTGGCCCGCGCTGTCACATGGCCCAGGGAGGCCCCGGGGGCTGCATAGGACTCACCTCCAGGCCCCAGGACAGTGTCCCAGCCAGAGGGGTGCATCCTGGCCACATGTCCCCAAACAATGAGGGTGACGCTTGGTCACCTGCGAATCCTCCATGTGTGACAAGGGCTTGTTTCGGGCTAACACGTGAGGGACAGGTAAACTGCCTGCAGAATAGACGAGGAGCTTATACTTACAGGTTTGCTCCTGGCCAGGAGAACTGACACCTCCCTCCTTCCCACTGGTGTCAACAGTGCGCAGTGTGTGGCCCAGTGACCGCTCACCAGCCGCTGTGGCTCAGGCCCCCACGGTGGAGGGGACGTGGCGTGGGCCAGGGTCAGGTACAGTCAGGGTCAGTCACAGTGAGGGTCAGGCACGGTCAGGGTCAGGCACAGTGAGGATCAGGCATGGTCAGGGTCAGGTACAGTCAGGGTCAGGCTTAGCATCAGGCACGGTCAGGGTCAGGCACATGTCATTTTGGGGTGGATTGCATATTGATGTCTTTGAAGCGCTCTGGGCAGTGAGGGTGCACAACAGGGCAGGGGCCACAGACAGCCCAGCGGCATTAGGGGGCTGAGGAGAGGACGCGCAGCCCCTGGGGCGGGGGGCTGTGCTCTCCTGGAAGCCATGAGGGAGGGGGAGGAGGAAGGGGGAGAAGAGTGATCGGCTCTTCCGGAGAGGAAAAAATTGGCCATGCGAGAGAAAGGGGATCAAGAATATACTTTTTTAAGTTCAAAATATTAACAGCGCGCTTGTGAATCCATGGGCAGGACCCAAAGGGCAGTGTTTGAAATGTGACATGGCACAGAAAGGGGGAAGAGGAGGGGGAGCTGGTGCCCAGGCCCAGACCAGCCGGGCGCGGAGCTGGGAGCCCGCCTTCCACATCTCCGGCTCACAGATGGGTGCAGACGCTGTGGGCGCAGAGGGGCTGGTGGGCGCGGTGGAAGTCTGATTTCTTCAGTGTTCTCAGCGGGGCAGCATCTGCTGAGTGGAGATGGAGGAGGAGGTGTGGGGACTGGAAGTGAGAAGAGAAAGTGTGAAGATCGCCAGGAGAAGGGAGGAGGGTGAGTGAGCGGCTCTCAAATGCCAGCCGCTCAGCAGTCACTGGGAGGCTTGTGGAAACGGTTTCTGGGCCTGTCGGATCCAGTAGGTCTAGGTGGGGCCTGGGGGCGTCTCCTGCCAAGTTCAGGGTGATGCCGGTGCTGCTCCCCCGGGGACCCCACACATCAGGGGAACTTGCCCGTGGGTCCCTGGTTCCTCTGGTCACCCCAGGAAGGCTGGTCTGGACACGGGGTGCCCGGCATAGGGAGACCAGTGGGTGGGCTGTGGTGTTCCTCCAGCCATGCTCAGCTCGCTGGTTAGCTGGGTTTGTCTGAGTTGCTTTGTCCTGTGTGCTGGCTTTAGTCTCTCGTGTCAGAGGGTCTGCTAGTTAGCTCAAGGCTGCACAAAGCCTCGCAGAGCTGTGGGGTGGGGACTGAAGCTCATGTGAAATTCTTGCCCACAGGGTTGACGTGGCTGGATCTTTTCACCGGGGAAACGCTGGGCCTGTTTCTGGAGCCCACCAGCGCCTGCCCAGCCGATGCCCAGTCTCCTGCTGCAGGTGACAGAGGGAAGGGGGAAGCGAGCCGGGGGCCATCTTCACCAGAGGGCACTCTGACCTTCACCCTGACCTCATGTCCTCTGGGCCAAAGACCAGCGCTCTCTCCAGAAGAGAACCTCTAGGTGGGGGAGGGCCCTGACCCTGCTGGGTGGCAGGAAAGGCCTCCACAGAGCTGACTGGAAGCTAAACAGCCAGTGGCCAAACCTCCTCCCTGCCACCCAGAGCCCCTGGGTGCTGCCCATCCCACAGCCCAGGCCCAGGGCCTGGGTAACTGCCTGGGGGGCTCCTGCTGTCCTTGCTGTGGGCTCGGACTCACGATGCCACATTCAGCTCTGCCTTCCAGGGTTGTTGGGAGGATGAGATCAAATAATCCAAGTCAAGAACCTAACATCATGCACATGTTCACAAACTCGGTGTTGCCTTCTCTGTGAACTGGGGGGTTAAGGGGTGACCTCAGATGACGCTCGCTCACGGGGAAAGGATTGTGATGGTGGACTGGTTGCCTCTACTGGCTGGCACCCCCTCCCCCACCCCTGGAGCAGCAGGCTGGCCCCACCCCCAGGAAGGCAGCTTTCATGGGATTTTGCGGCCCCAGCCCCACATCCCTGTTCTTTTTTCTGGAATCACAATCCTTCAGGGAGCTGCTGGCCACTCCCACTTGGGTGCTGAGCTTCAGCCGCACACCCATAGATGGCCAGCTCTGCTAGGGGGACGTGGTGTGTCATTTACAATCAGCACATATGATTCATCGGTACTATTCCCAGTGGCCTACTCAAGGGATATAACCACAGTGACTCTCCATTCTCTATTCTAGGCTCTCCTCCATTTAACAGGGTTAAGCTCTTGAGAGCATGGCATCTCTAATGTACAATATTGACTGTCGAGTCGGGCACTGTGTGAAGTCCTTGATAAGCCCATCGCATTTGGTGATCTCATCTGGCCCCACAGGAGCCTGTGTGGTGGTTTCCCTGACACATTTCTCTACCTATGAGGCAACTTGGGGCGGGGAGGTCATACCACGGCTAAGCTGTGGGGCACAGATTCCATGAGACCCAAATTTACAGGAGTAGCAACAAATATTTCCAGGTCAAGGATGAAAATGGAACTAACTCCCATTCTCGCTGGAGGGTGAGGGAGATAAGCCATTAGAATGTGCAGCAAAGTAACTGCACAACATCTTAGTGGACAAGGACAGCAAAGGTATGCTCTGAATCTAAGCATTAAATCATGCACGTGAGCTTTACATTCCTGTTTTATACCACGTTCAAGCAATTACGGTTCTCAGTGCTTCAATCTACTATGTATTCATGGGACACTATAATGTAATTGTTACTGCTCGGACATAAGCAATCGGTGAGCCCCAGCAATGACCGCCTGTGGCTAGCTAGACACAAGCAGACACTGTGCTCCTCTGGAAATACACCCACCATCTCTGACGTATTCCTTCCAAACAAAAGGAGAATCTGAGTCCAATCACACTTCTCTATAGAACTACCAATGTACACGAAATGCAAACACCGTGGGGATGCCATCTGCAGATTCCACACTGTGGGTACAGACAAAAGACATGGTTTAAAAACAAAAACAAACCAAAAAAAGCAAAGGGGTAAAAAGGAGAGAGAGATGTGTAACCTCAGAACCACCTCAAAATGGCCCTGTCCCGTTTATGGAGACACTGAGTTGCTTTTCAGAGACAACAGAACAAAACCCATGTCAGGCAGCCAAAGCAGGTGCGGAGAACTCTGACCCTAGCTGCTTCCGGAACCAAACTCTCGCCCTCCCCTCCCTACATGCACGGAACCACAGGACGGGGACACAAGCGGAACTTGAACCCAGGAACCGGAAGCGGAGGGTCCGCTGTCCAGGAGGATGTGGTGCTGACGCCCCTGCACCCCTTCTCAAAGTTAAATAATGCCGCCAACGGCTCAGGTCTCGGCACCTCCCCACACA